ACGGGTGAATCGGATACACAGCCACTCAAATAGCGACTACTCGGTCGTCAAAGAGACAGCTACGTGACCATGATCGACCTACCTCCGAACGAGGTTCAACTATGGTTTTGATGTGACGGAGTAGGCTACACGTGACTGCAACCTTAGTTCATTAAACCCAATCAATAAACCATGGTGGGGAGCTAGAGCGGATTAGTGTAACGGATTATCTCTTACATATCAGTCTGATTTCCATGCAGTGTAATCATCACCATTATACACGTTGGCTAGAGGTGGAAAACACCTCAGCTACTATACCGCATTACACAAAAGAAAAACGAAGGAAATGCACCAGTTGCATGCCAGCTGAGCTACCAGTAACGGATGGACATGGTTCCGGAAAGCTATCAACCGGCTACTATGCAGCAAAAAATTTATAATGCAAAATTTGTATTATGCAATGAAATGAGGTCGTGGTTGGAGGAGGACAACGAAACTCACAGCACGAACGCAGTTGTGGTCGGCTCCTAGCCATGTCAGCAAGTGTATTTAACGAAACGTGTTCATCGTCTCGCTTACTCCAAACAGGGAACCGAGGCCAGCTTCGAAGTGAGGGCCCTCATTCCTCTCGACCAAGTCATCGCTTGGCCACCCCTCCTCTTCTTCCATCCACACCCCCGGGCGAGCAAACAACGCATGTCGCGGGTGTCGGTGGGCTGATATGCGTAACACGTGGCCGAGCCATTGGAGCCTATTGCGCGAAATGACGGTGCTGAGCGGTTAATTTCCTCTTCCTGTGCCGTGAACAAGGCGTCGAACACGCTCGTTGCTCACTCCGTGTTCCCACCAGATGAGAGTCCAATTGCGAAGGCACCGGTGCTCGAACGTAACTAGGATTTTTATGTCCGTCGATCGAAGGGATCAGGTTTCACAATCATACAGTAGGATCGAACGCACCGCTGCATTGTACTCTGTACCCTTCAGGGCCAGAGTGATGTCATGCCGGCGTCATAAGTGGCAAAGTTCAGCAAAAACCTCTGGAGCTTTTGCTACACAGTTCGTGATCTCATCTTCAATCCCACGGGCGTTGATGCAACTTATCAGGTATTTGAATATTTGTACGACTTCCAGCTGATCCCCACCAATGGTCAACGCAAGAGGCAGTCCAGGACAATCTTGCAGGAACGATTTGCACTTCTAGGATGCGAAACAAAGCTCAAAATGACGGACGGCCACTGCTAAGCTGTCCAGTGCAGCTTGGCACGTTTGTGAGCTGTCACAGATGAGGGCAATATCGACCGCATACTCCTAGTCAAGAAGTCGTTCTCCTGGGAGCAGATCCACACCTTCTAAATCGTGTCCTGTGAACGCGATTTTCATGACTTCATCAATAGCGAAGTTGAAGAGGGAAGGTGACAGCGGGCATCCTTGTCTCAAACCGTTGGAGATATTGAAGGGCGACAACAGATGTCCGCAAGCTCTCACTCTGCCGGAGCTACGCGCGTATAATGCTAAGATAATATTTACATATTTCTCGGGTACATCTTTCCTGACTACAGTCCCAAAGGGGACTTCTATCCACTGAATCGAATGCACCTTTGATATCGAGGAACACGACGACGGTGGGCCGTCAGTATATGTGACGGTGTTCCAACAACTGACGCAAAGTGAAGATGTGGTCAATGTATCCACGACCGCTACGAAACCCGGCTAGCTCTTAAGGAATCTTGCATTCACGATTGCCAGTCACTCTGTGAAGGTTGACAGAGGCAAGCAATTTGGATGCGATGGAGATCAAACTGATTCCTCTATGGTTACCGCATTCCGATCGTGTGCCTCCCTTGATAATTGGGACTATTACGGAGCGGCTAAGGTCGGTTGGCATAGTTCTACTTCTCTGGGTGGATCCAGTGGGTGTACTGCGTGCAATGATGGATGGTGGAGGCTTAGTGGAATTGCGAATGAAAGTGATCGGCCCAGCGGTTCAAACGTATCCGCTGGTTTGTGATCCGAGACCCGTCCGCCTCACAACTAACCTCACTGCCACCAGGCTTCCAGAGACCGGTGGACAGAATTAGTTTGAAAAGCTTGCGAGTGTTGCCACAGAAAGCAGGTCTCCATCTCCAAAGCACGTGCAGATCACTAATCCTCCTGACCACTGCACATGGTTTGCTTGAACAGCCGGTTGGCAGTGCGGCGTCACTCGTTGCGATCTGATTCGACCGGGATCTCTCTGTGGCGGCTGAAGAGCTCCAGAGAGCGAGCAGAGATTCAGGCCACTAAGGGGAGTGGGGCTAGCCACAGTTTGATTGCACGGAAGTGGTCATTGTTTTCCGTATACAAGTCAAGTCTAAGTGAGTGGTAATTAGAAGCTGATTGGTAGTTTTTGTTGAGTGTGCAACACTTGCAGGCTGTTGGAAGAGAAGCTTTAAAGGCTTACACGAGCGAGATGACATCTAATTGAGTAGTAATGAGAAGCGGATTGGTTGATTGCTTTGCGACTGCAATTCCTGCAGGCTGTTGGAAGAGAAGCTTTGAAGGCCCACTGGTTGACTACACGTTTGCCTTCCTTGCTCGCTTGCCTATCTGGCCAGATGTGATACCGTTTGCAGTGTAATCATGCCACCGCGAGCAATCCGGAGGATCGATAGGTGTGCGATTTCGTTTGGGAAATGTATGTGGTTGTTAAGGCAGTGTGAGGTTATCAGAAACAATACAGCACTTCGTACGTATGAGGTAAATTTAGGACTAGTTCGCAAATAGAATTTTTAAAGCCTTTACAGCTATTGTTTCAATTGCCGTACACTCATGTGAATATTGTAGCCACGTATTGCTGATGTAGTCGGTGAATTTATACTAAGACCAAGTTCGCTAGGTCGGTAAGACAATCAGTGGATTTGTAGCCATTGTTCCAAACAAGAGGGTTCCTAGTGTGGCGGTGACACGACATTAGTGAGTGTTCGTTCGTCTCAACACCTGTGGGCCACTTCGGTAATCAGTTAGCGCTTTAGGACCCATGGACCTGCCGTCATGTTAAGGTCGTAAGAGGCATGTCAATCCTACGTTTCAACATGATATTTACACTTCACTTCCAAGTGATTGATAAGTTTGAAATATCAAGTGACCCTACGGCCCTTATATTATCTGCCAACGAGCATTGCATAGTAAGCATAGAGTTTGGAGCAATCTTCCTCCTTCAACAATGCCTCCGGATTTACATACGTTCCAATGACAAAATGTTTCCGAGTAGTTGCCAAGTCGATAACAGCCTGTGTTACGGCGTGCACACATGATTATTTCTAAGACTAGATGTACCAATGGTCCATAGCAGGATTAGTGGGCGCGGTTGCCTTTGTAAATGATTACAATCACATTGTAGGAACACCCGTGGGTGAGACAACAGTGTGTATCTGTCCCAAGTACTCACTTGAATTACCAGAGCAAAATGCGTGCGTCGCCACTAATTATCAGCCTTGCGTTTTTCTTAGCAGGAAGATGTGGCATGAATAAATACCGTAGCCATTGCAGCCCCTATAGGTGTTTCTTTGTTGAGTAATACCGAGTTCATGAGGATAGCATTCCAGTCCATGGAGGTAATAGGGAGGTTCCATCTGCATTGACTGTGCTTCTAATGGTGCCATTCGGATAGCCACTTGTCAAAGCGTCTCAAAACGTTTGGGCGACCATATGGAAGTAAAGCCTAATTATCCTATGAATACATAGGTTCCTATGATGTTTACATATCGTCATACATGGAGACACTGAAGCGATAACTGATTAACAAATTCGCTCATGGGTGTGGAGACAAACGAACACTCACTAACGTCATGTCAACGCCACACTTGGAATCCTCATAGTTTGTGTTTAGTCATCAACTGTGATAGAAGTAAGCAAACATAGAACTTTCCTTGTTCAGCTTCAGGTTGGTCTACCAACTTCAACGGGAACAATCTCCCCCATGCTCGTCGCAATAACAACCGCGCAAAACTATCTAACCGCCTAGCAGCCATTGCTGAACTGCGGAATGCCAGTTAGAAGATTGCCTGTCTACGCCACCATGGTTAAGCCGCTGAATAAGCCACCACCAGGTAGCCGCTAGTGATTACTAAGTATAGACCGCTTCATGTGCTGATTAGTATGTTTGTCCGCACTGGTTACGGCTTAAGCTTCGGATCATGTAGTAGTTAGTATCTCCTCCTTTGACAAGCATCACAAGTTGTTCATTGGACGGTTTCAGTTTGGAGACCAATCATCGAGGTTTCCTTCAGATAGGCATCAAAATAGAACAGAAGGAGGTGCTCGACCACTATCATTGGACTGTCTATCGCTTATGCTGGGGGCTTCCAACCGGTGTCCCATTGGCTAACGTCTCATGACCAATGAGAGTGTCAACGACGCTAAAACAACGTTTTTAGCCTCGCTAACTTGAAAGCACTGCAAGCGATTTCGAAAATGGGCCACACTGAAAGCTTGGTACAATGTGTTAACATGCGTGTAAAATAGTACCGACCCCTGGTCATTTGTGTGTCTTTTGTTTTTAGAACTCAGCTTGACACCCGGATACGTGCGTGAACACGGACCATGCTCAAGTCACGCCTAACAGTCGGCTAAGCTACGCGAGCTGGTCAGCGCAAATCCATTGCAACTGCGCCTTAAATTTTCCGCCACGCTTGTCGAGAGTTGGTCTTTAGTCTGTCATAAGCCATTATTCCTTTGTCCCACCACGACTTACTTCTGATAACCACGCATAAGTCTAGATGGTCAGAAATTGTCTAAAATTTTACTCACGGGTTTCAATAAACCACCCTGCCGGTTACTATGTTGATTTGCTTTTTTGCTAATTAGAAGTACGCATTAAAATTAGCTGTGATGTCCGTTTAATGTATGCGTGTTTGATAGCTGCCAGAAGTGCACGGGAAAACAGATCGAACCAGTTAAGCATAGCTCCAGTTGGGCCCGATACAGTCTAGTCTGGCCCCTTCACACACTTTTTATTGTTGGCTCCTGGTTCGCATTTTGTCTCACCTGGAAACTTTATACAAACTACCGTTGGGAACTGTGTTGCGTCGATGTATGCCGTTTACTGAAAATATGTAGTTGGCGGGTACGCTGCTTAGTATCCAGTAGACAAAAATGCAGTTGCTTAACTTCCAGAATACCCAATACATTTTGCTTCTGACAAATTTTTCAAGAATGTCATCCACAGCACAACTCACGTATCTCATTGCGTTTATAAGCGTCCCTGTGTTGTCAAGCTCCAGTAGGAATGAATTGAAGAATCGGAATTTGACTTTGTTGTTGCTGATGCGAAGCTGACCAATATCGTTGAACAAAATCTCCACGACTTGGTTAGTGTGAATTCCATGGTGTATGGTGGCAAGCACATGGTGGAGACAATCTTCCACTGCCTCCCGGGATAAGCCGGTACATGAGCTGAGTTTACATTGGTTGAGGCTGACCGAGGCGGAAGAACCTAGCAGCAAAATTAAGAGATCTTCCTCATCGTGACGTCACAACAATTGAAAAAAGTTGATTTACCAATAGGTTATGGTGAATCGACTTGTTCACACCAGCGCAACAAGCCATGTCTGTGCGATAGTGACTTTTAGGGTGAAAAACATAATGCTTCGTGGTGAATATAGTGGCGTTGTCAAACATTTCAACCTCTTTCTGAGTAGGACACGTTCAAAATGGCGACTATTCGCAAGGCCGGCAAACGGAGCACTGCTAGAGATTCGCATGACAAGGATATGGTATAATGCTGCATCCTGGATGTTAACTAGTTGCTTCATTCAACATTCTGACAAGGAATGGACAATCCTCAGACATGGTCAACAGCGCGTGACTTGGTCAACAGCGCATCAGAAACCAAGCCCCTTCGTTCCTCAAAAATGCCTTCAATCCTAAAGAGCAGGACTCGACAATACATAGCGATAAGGGACGCAGCATGGTGTGCCTACAAGGTTAACCCCGAATCAGAGACTTGGGGCAGTTTCCTGACCCATCGCAAACTATGCACTCCACTTGTTCATGAAGACAAAGTAACTTATCGACAGTGCCTAGTCAGAAAATTCCTGGCAAACAACGAACTCCTGTATAAGCATGTTAACTATCTTCCTAAAGCGAAGTATGGCATCTCTTCACTTTTCGCGACAGGCAATAGAGTACAAAGCGCCGAAGAAGCAGCTAATGCCCTGCGGCTACAATACGCCCCAATTTTTGAACTCGCAGCCTCAACCTGTCCCATAATGTCATGCACATTGCTGACTCCATTGTTTACACTAATTTTCAACCCCGCAATTGTGCCAAGTTACTCCCACTGTGGGATCACAGCTCTCCTGGAGCAGACAACATCCTCCCGAAGGTACTAAAGACTGCGGCCGACAAGTTAACGGAACCACCATCACAGTTTTCCCAGAGGTGCTTTGATGAACAACAAGTCCCTGCTGTGTAGAAGCGTGGCATTATCATCCCAATTTTTATAGGCGGTGACCATTCAGATCCTTCAAACTATCGCCCAGTGACTCTCCTCCATGTGCTCGCGAAGGTGATGGAAACGGTCATCGCTGACGCTTTAATGGACTATCTGGAAAAATGCCACATCTTGGCACCGGAGTAGCATGGTTTCCGTCAACAGCGGTCATGCACCACTAACCTACTGATTGCACGAGATAGTTGCACGGAAGTGGCTGATGATGGGGTCGGAGTTGGACATAATCTATCTGGACTTCTCCAAAGCTTTCGACTGCCTGGACCATCGCACCCTACTTCACAGGCCACAGAGCTAGCGACTCGGAGCTCCTGTTCTTGGTTGGATTGGCAACCTTCTTCACTAACGGAGGCTTTAACTGCGTGTCAAGGATCACGGTCTAACCCGATTGAGGTGGAACATGCTATCCCACAGCCCTCGGTGCTGGGACCGCACCTGTTCCTTGTGTTTATCCTGGACCAATCAAGAGTAATCTCCCCAAATTTCCTGCTTTTGCCGATGATGTCAAGATATGGCGGGCCATTAATAGCAAGGAGGATCACGATGTACTCCAACCTGACCTAGACTGCATTTATGAATGGTTAACGAGGAGCTTGCTTCAGGTGAACATAGCTAAGTCCAAGGTGATCTAGCTGCTCCAACAGCCGGGGAGCTTTTAGTAGCTTGGAGACCACACCTTGCAGAATGCCTCTCAAGAGCATGACCTGGGAGTACTTATACAGGAAGATCTCGGATGTTCAAAACAAGCAGAGGCGTCGAGAACCGGAAACCAACACTTTGGCCTCCTTTGAAGAGGCTTCGGTTGGTTTAGACCTTCGATGTTCCGCAAACGCCTAACGTCTACGTGAGACCGCAGTGGAATATGCAATCCATGCGTTGCACCCGTGGCAGAACAGGATCTCGTTTCCCTCGAGACTCCTCAAAGAAGGGTAACCAAGAACGTCAGAGGCCTCTTTCATTTGCCCTATCAGTTCAGACTGAACTGTCTAAGACTGTACAACAGTCGATATCGAGGTTTGCGGGGGGACTTCATGATTGTTTATCAGATTCTGAAGTACCCAAACCAGATTTTCAGCCTGCTCCTGGAACTGCACCACAACACTAATCTATGTGGTCATCCTCTGGAACTGACAGTACGGTATAGCCGGTTTGAATGCAGTATAAATTTCTTCTCCCTCCTAGTGTGTCAGTCTTGGAACACTTTCCAAACTATGTCATCTTTCTCCCCAATCCATCGATATAAAAAGACTACAAAACGTTGTCTCGTTTGCATTTCATTTGATAACTGTTCGCCAGGGAGTACAAAACGTAATCAAACTTTGTGTAGCCAAACTACCAATCAATGCATTTATGGATTTGGACATTTAATACGCGAACATCTTCACTCTTCTACCTATGTCTATGGTGAGTCACCAGAGCGCTTGTCAATTTATCACGAATATTTATTTTCGAAGTAATTTCCATCCCACGGGTATTGTTAAGCATTGCATTTTCCCCGTATAACAATAATGTTTTAAATGAAAAGCTTCAAAACTACAAGAGCAATAAAAAACAAACACACCTATGAGTGGTGGGCTATTTGAGGCACCAGTTGTTTGAATTGATTGTGATGCGCACTCTCAATGTTTTGTATTGTTTCGTTTTAATTTGTACTGATAACGAGATCTTAGTTGGAGAAGGAGGCCAAATGCCATGGAGAGGAATAAAGAAACTCACAACACCAACCCATTGAGGTAGGCACCCAGTCAAGTCAAAACACGTATATAACCAGACTTGTGCACTGTCTTTCGGACACCAAGCAGAAGGCGCACACTCTACAAACCTGACGAAAATTGTAGTAATGACTGTCAGTCTTCTCTAAAAAATCATCGGATGGCCTCCCTTCATACGCTTCCATCATACCAGAGTCACACGAACAACGCAAGTCCCAAGAGTCGGTGTAACAGTATGAGTAACTCATGACCCAAACAACAGAGCCTGGCGGGTCAAACAAGGGTGCTGGGAGTTCACGTGATCCTCGTGCGCCACAAGCAACACACGGAATATGTTGGTTGCTTAGGCGCTTTTCCCAAGGGAAGTGAGCAAACCTGCGAAGGTACCGATGCCAAAAGCAACTCGTCTCTTTACGTCTGTGGACCTGATGGGCCAAGTTTCACAACCAATACTAGGGTCGAGCAGAGATCTACACGCTAGCTTTTACTTTCCAGCTCAAGAGTGATGTGACGCCCGCGTTATAAGTGGCGACTGTGAGCACTAGCGCCTCGAGCCTTTGCTGTCCTGTTCGTGTACCCAGTAAAATTACCATTTAAATCGCAATTTAAATATTGGATTATTACTCTAGATACCCACAGCTGACACCTGCACCATATACCAAACTCTGGCCTACCAAATCGTAGCCCAGCCGACGTCCCTCACGGTTCAGTGGCTTCAGCTGCTGGCTAATTGGCTTCTGCCTCTAGCGGTCATGGGTTCGATCCACCGTAGGGGACCGAGGGAATTCGCACCACTGACGACCCCCAATAGGGCGAAACGCGTCTGGTACTTTTCCGGACTAGGCTGTGCTAGGTAGCTTGTGAGCAGGTGGGACGAAAACATTACAGTTACAAATAAAATATCCTCCTACTCATTAGTAATACCAGTTATTTGTCAAATCCCTGCGTCTACCTGTTCGATGCCCCATAGTTTCAATCCAACTCCAGCTGTCACTTAACCGACCTGTTCCGCTCTTCGTCTATCACGGTGCTAAACAAGTGGGGAGACAGAGGACACCCTGCCCTACGTTTTTGTCACAGTTCGACTTCTCAACCTACAAAAACACCTAGGATTCACCCTAAAGCGTCCGAGAAAAACCAAACATTGGCGCTGGGACTGTCTTCAGTCGAGCGGCCCGAAGCACCATATCATGACAGACTATTGCAAACGCCTTGACAACATCTAAAAGTTCATTCATGATCAGGGCACGGATGCTGAGGACTGGAAGCGACAAACTTATTGGAGCTCTAGCAACTCGTAAAAATCTTAGGACCAAACAAATACAAGGACTGAACTCAACTGAAATACTCAACAATCCCCGCTCAGTGCTGAAACATTTGGATCTTTACAATGCACACACAAAGTAAAAATCACCATACTTGCCACTGTTCAACATGATCACAAAACCCAGAGTCCACGAACGGAATCCCCGGGCTCTTTCATTGGGTCACGCAACCTTACCCAACTGGCCCACTGCAAAACGCAATGTACTGGGTTATTAGGGTGGCTTCAACGTTGGGGGTAATGTGTCTATGACAAATGTGGAGTGAAGGGAACAGATGGCGGATCTGCCGCGGGCGCAATAGTTAATCAACGTCGGTGTGTGCGTTTGACTCCTAGGGGAATTTGTACAGTGTGGGAACGAGCAACTGTGACAGCTGGGGTTGGAATTATCATGGAGCATCGAATAGGTTGACACAGGAGTTTCGACAAGTGGTTGGTAGTATTTCGCATTATCCGATCAATAACAAGACAATAACTAGGAAATCCTTATATCGGTATCATAGGGTATAGCCTTTGCTCGAGACAGCTGCATACATTTTCATCTGAGAGAAGTGGAGTATTTCCATTTCCCAATACCAGCTGTCTAGCTGAGACAACGCACGTTAATTTGTACAAGGAATGTCGCTTTCCGATTCCAGCCCAAATCACATCGCCAACTCGATGGAGTGGCTATGGCTGAAATCACTCTTATCATCATCAGCAGCAGCAGAAGCAGTAGTATAACAGCCATTTGAACGGATGCTTCGCTGCCGTACAGCACAGTGACCTAATGAACGAAGAATAGTAGGAGAGGGAGAAGGGGGAAGCAGCGTTGGCCCAGTACAGACTGACTTCCATGCTGATACATAAAAGGAAATCAAATAGAGCTATTTCTCAGTTGCCGCGTTAGAAACTATTTGTAGATTGCATCCTCCTTGTTGGTTCCTCTAGGATGAAAATCGTGCGAT